ACCATGGTGAAGGCCCTCATTTTTTTTAATATAAATTTGTTTATTTTTAGTTTTCAACATTCACTTCCACAAGTTTTTGAGTTCCAAATTTTCACCCCATATCCCCCCTCCCCCCACCCCAAGATGTCATGAATTCTGAATATCCCTTCCCCTAGTCTGTCCTCTCTTCTATCTCTCTCCCCTTCTCTTATCCCCTTCCCCTTCTATTTTCCTGTAGGGCAGGACAGACTTCTGTACCCCACTTCCTATATTTCTTATTTCCCAGTAGCATGTGAAAACATTTTTTTCATAAACATATGTTTTTAAAACTTTATGTTTCAAATTTTCTGTCTTCCTCCCTCCCCACCTACCCTCATTGAAAAGGCAAGCAACTCAATATAGGTTGTATATGTGCAGTTATGCAAAACACGTCCATAGTAGACAGAGGCAACACAATTTTAAAGGTAATTGATTTGATCTTTTAAATATTCCCAAAAGGGGAAGAATCCAGCAAAATGGAAAGTCTTGGGTCAGGTCTGCATTTGGAGCCTTTCCAGTTTGATAAGATCTACCAGGTCTTGTGTTCCACTGTCACAGCCTTTGAGAAGCAAGGGTTACTTCCACAATGAGGCATCAGACATTACTGGAGGATTACTATTAGTAACATAATCAAAACCTATCTATTAAATGCCTAATTGACTACAGCATCATGCCAGATACTGTGCACAGAAAACTACATGGATCATAGACCCTTTTTTATGATCTTGACCACACAGAAATACTGACATGGACATAGATCTAGATTAAAAAAAAAACATGAAATCTATATATAAATGGAGAACAAAATATTTAACATAAAAATATGGGTCAAGGGTGAGATTCATTAAGGGGAGATAGATGGACAAGTATATGAAGAAAAGAAGGAGAAAAGTAAAATCCCAGAACCTAGTTACTACCATGTAGCATGGTGTCTTTAGACATTCCTCCCCCTACCCACCCCCACCGCTATCCGCAAGAGATTCTAATGGTTTGTCTTCTGGAATGAAAGAGTTTAAAGAGACCTTAGAGATCACCAAATCCAGTACCCTTATTTTATGGAAAAGCAACTGATGTCCAGGGATGATGATAATCATGATAATGATGACCTACGACTTAATAATGTTTCAGTATTTACAAAGCACTTCTATACATTATTTCACATACATTTGATGGCTAGGTGGCATAGTGCATAGAGTGCTTTGGAATCAAGAAGACTTTACTAGTTGTGTGACCCTGAGCAAGTCACTTAACTCCTGTTTGCCTCAGTTTCCTCATTTATAAAATGGGTATGATAATAGTACCTACTTCCCAGAGTTGTTTTGAGGATCAAATGAGATAATAATTGAAAAGTGCTTACACAGTGTCTGGCATATAGTAAGTACCATAGAAATGTTAATTATTATAATTATTTCATATGATCCTTACAACATTCACATGCACGAGTTTTGTTAATATCTACCTTTTACAGATGAGGAAATAGAGGTTCAGAGCAATTACATGATTTGCTATTTAACATAGCTTCTAAATGTCTGTCTGACCCTAAATCTTCTTGATTCCAAGTACAATGCTCTATTCATTATACCACATGGCTATACAACTAAGACTATACAACTAGTAAGTTAATAAAACCAGGATTTGAACTCAGGCCATAAGATCATAGATCCAAAACGAGAAGGGACCTTAGAAGCCATCTAGTCCAGCCTACTAACTTTATAGAAGCAGAAACAGAGACCTGGACAAGTTAAGTGTTAAGTAGGTAAGGAAGGTAGGCGACTAGATGGTGCAGCAGATAGAGCGCCAGGCCTGCAGGCAGGAAGACTCATCTTCCTGAGTTCAAATCTGGCCTCAGACGCTTACTAGCTGTGTGATCCGGGGCAAGTCACTTAACCCTGTTTAACTGAGTTTTCTTATCTGTAAAATGAGCTGGAGAAGGAAATGGCAAACCACTCCAGTATCATCGCCAAGAAAATCCCAAATGGGGTCATGAAGCGTCAGACAAATGAAATGACTGTACAACAATAAAGCTCGAGGTCACACAGACAGATAACAGAGGTCCTTTGACTTTAGAACCAGAGTTCTTTCTACCTCACAGTTCTGCCTCAAGAGTTCTCTGCCTCCAAATTCAGGACTCTACTATACCATGCTATCATTAGCAAATAATGAAAAAAATCAAGAAGATTCCAGGTGGGAGATCCTACCCAAGGCTGTTTAGTCTGTATCCATTTCGAAACAATAGTTATCAAGCACTTTGAGGTTTTAAAAACATTTTACGTGTCAATCTATCAACAAAAGTTTATTAAATGCCTACTATGTGCCAGGAACTGATTTGATACTTATAACAACTCTTTCAGAGAGATTCTATTATTATCCCTTTTTATAGATAAAGACATTGAGGCTGAAAGAGGAGATTTGTGGGACTGCTGAACGGGCATTTTGCTTTCACCTCAGATTTGCACTGTCTGAGCAACTTACTCTGGATCAATCACTTTATGCCAGGCAACCAGCACTCAGTCCATGGATTGATGGTTAGCCACCTGGACTTGGAAAAAGAAATGCAAAGCAAGAAACCCATCTAGGGACTTGAAATCTGATCTCAGGCTCTCCTAGAAAAGCAACCTATAGCTCAGAGTAACTCTTGCTGTAGGGGAGATCCTGTTTACCCTTCAAGGGAAATATGAGGGAGAGATGAAAGAGTCCCAAGATAATCAACAGACAAGAGAGATCCTACTGTTAAGTAGGCTGCTCTCCCTAATTCAATGTCCAGTCTTGTTGCCAGACTGTGTCCCAATATATAGCACGTCACTGGAAGTGGCCAAGACAAAAGCTTAGATTTAGCAAGGGGCCTACAGAAAGGGGCCTATTTCACATTGTTAGCCCCATCATCCCTGTGACACACGTACTCTAAGGTCCAGCTAATCTGGTCTATTTTTAATTCATCTGTAACATTCTATCTCACATCTCCATGACTGAACTCCATTCCTGGAAACACTCCCTTCCCACCCCTCATTTTTAGTACAGCTCCCTTCAAAGCGTAATTGAAGTGTTAGTACTTACATGAGCTTTTTCTTGATCCTTCCCCCCATCTACTACTGCCCACCCCCAAAATTACTTTGCATTTAATTCGTATTTATTCATATGTTTATACACTGTTTCCTTTGATGCAACGTCAACTCCTGGAGGGTAAAAACTATTTCTTTTTTTATCTTGGTATCCTGAACATCTAGTACAGTGCCTAGTAGACCATATTAAATTTTGGTGATTGATTGATTAATTGATTTGAAGTTATCTATGTGATTAAGAAAAATTATGCTCTGAGATCTGCCACACATCAAAGGCTAAGGCCTAGTATATATAATCTGAAGTCTAAGGCCCCACCTTCACCCTCACCCCTCTTTCCACCCAAGATCCCAACATAGCACCCAAGGGATTTAGGTAACTTAGCAACACAGAATTCTGCAAGTGAAAAGCTGCAGCTTATCAGAATCAGGCAGCCATTTACACCCTTAGTTGGAGGGCACCCAATCTTCATCTCTCTTTCTTGTGCTTTTCTCCCCATGTTAGTCATTGACACCAGGATCAAAGAAAAGGAATTGACCTTAGCCTGAAAGGAGGACATTCTGTCTGTATGAGGTGTAAGAGGATTGACTTATTAGTTATGGAATATCCTAGAAAGATTTTCTGTAGGACATAAAGCTACCTGGACTGAGGAAGGAGCAACGTCACCAAATGGCAAAGGGATGAGACTCAACAGCCATTTCCCTGCATCCACCCTCACCCCTTTGCAGTCCATTGCTGTCAAACGGACATCCCGAAAACTGAGCCCTATGTCACCCTCATGCTCAGGAAACTTCCAGGGCTCCCTACCATCTCTAGGATAAAATGTAAGCATCTGTTGGACAGTTAAAGCCGTTCACAATCTGACTTCAGCTTATCCTTCTAGGATGATGACATATCATCTCCTCGCCACCCCTACCTCATACACTCTCTTCCAATCAAATTGTCCTACTTGCTGATCCCTGTATATGATATTCCAACTCCCATTCCTATGCCTTTGTCTCATGCCTAGAATATTCTCCTTGTTCCCCTCCAACTCTTAGAATGCCTGTGTCCCTTCATGGCTCAGTCTGAGGCACCTCCTATAAGATGTCTTCCTCAGGGGCAGTTAGGTGGCACCGTAGATAGAGCTCCAGCCTTGGAGTCAGGAGGACCTGCGTTCAAATCCAGCCTCAGATACATGACATGTACTAGCTGTGTGACCCTGGGCAAGTCACTTAACCCCAATTGCCTTGCCAGAAAAAAAAAAGGCCAAAAAAAAAGATGTCTTCCTCTATTCACCTGGTATGTAGTACCCCCTCCCCAAAAAATTATCTTCTGTTTATTTTTATATTTTTTTGTATTTACTTATCTGTACAAATGCTATTTCTTTCTCATATACCACCAGCCCCACCAGAATATAAGTTTCTGGAAGGCAAAAACTGATTCATTTTGTCTTTGTGTCTCCAGCATAATGCCTAGCACACAGTCTGCCAGTGCATGCTCCTTAAATTAAACGGAAGTGAAATCTGAGAGGTTGTATCAGCCTAAGAAGGTTGTGACATAGAATGGGGAGCCCTTGCAAATCAAGGTGTCATGCACCAGAAGCAGGGACATATTTAGATAGAAAAGGATACACATGTTCAAGAAAAGTCCACTCATCCCTCATGTGTTCCAGATTAATGTTTGGGGGACTTCGCAGACTGACCAGGGATTCTACTCCCCACAAATCAAAGTAAGGAATACCAGGGGGCCCCCAAAGTGACAGAAATAAGGATCTATAATTGTGGGAGAAAAAACCAATCATCTTTCACATATTGGATTAGTTATCTAGGCACATGTGAAAAGAAAATACCCATCCTTATAATACGCTGCCCCTTCCCACAGCAGCACCACCTCCTTTCCACACCAATCCCCAAAGAAAAAATACAGCAATTTACTCATTTGACCTCTGTGAGTTTGTTGATTCTTCTTCCAGTTTTACCTTCTTCAAACAATCCAATCTTCTCTCACACATGCCTGAAAAGAAACAGGAATTAGACTAGATGATGTTTAAGGTCCCTTCCAGCTCTAATATGCTATGATTTTATGATTCTAGCTGTTGGCATCTTTAAACTCCATCCCCATTCTCCCACCCACCCCCTTCCTTAACTCTGCCAGCTCATAAATGCTGCTCACCAAAGTGTGAGACTTGTTAAAAGTTCCTCCTCCGGAGTCCAGAGTGAGAATTTAAAACCATTATGTAACTTGAAGGTGTCAGGGAACCTAGCATCTGAAAGATGACATTCTGGGGGCCTTCTCCAACCGTTCAAGGATATGAGCTGCAATGGGAAGGGGGTGGGGATTGGAAGCAGAGTATCCAGGATGGAAAGAAGGGGACTGAGTCTCTCAGGGAGGAGTGGTGGGCAGTAGGATAAAGGAAACAAGGATTTCTCTTGAGTGTCGGGTTTAACTCAGACACCTACAGTTATTAGTGGAGGTATAGGTAGAGACACAAGACAGGATAAACCATGATATGCCGGGGAGGAATAGGAGAAACAGCTCAGAGAAGCTCCCATTCCTCCCCCTACACTCACCGGCCCTTGTCCAGCACCTCCGGAATCCCTGCTCACAAAAGGACCATCACCAAGTAGTGCCTGCCAAAAGGTGGGCTGGGCTTCATCAGCAGGTCAGCAATAATGAGGCTATAAACAGACTAATTACTGAGTAATTACTGGCCCTCTAAGTGCCCAGGGCAGCAGGCTGGGAATACTTGGCCAGCTCAATGCCTTGAGACTCCTGCATGCTGGAAGCCTAGCTGAAAATTAAACAATGAGGATGGGCTAGGGTAAGGGCTTTTTGTGAAAATTCACTCCGTCTTTTTTTTCCCTGCTCTTTTTCATCCCCTCTCCTTCTGGCACAAACTCAGTGCTATTGGAGAACCCCAGCTGGATGGGCTAGGAGTCTTATGTTTTGACCAAGAGAACAAGAATATTAGCTCACCCTCCTGGTTTCTCAAGCCAGCTTTGGGGATCAAGACCCCCATCTACCTCACCACCCCCCATCTGAAACTGAAGCCTCCAAAAGGACCAGCCCCCTCCTGGGGCCACACCCCATAGGCCATTCTCCGAGCAACAAATACTAAGGACCAGCACCCTCCATGGACAGATTCCAAATCCAGCTTTAATGTGTCCACTCCTGCAGCCTGGTGAAGCAAGGGTTTGTGCTGTGGGCATAAACATAACCAAGAGTAATCCGATTGTGATGTTCTTGGTTATCTGTGCATTATTCACTTATTGTCAAAATGCACAGACTTCCTGCCAGTTCTTGCTTTCTTCCCCAGTGCCTTCCCTTCCCTCCTCCTTTCCCCCAGGGCCTACCTCTAGCTCCTCCTTGATTTTTTCTCCCCGTAGCACTCCCCCAGCCCTGTCAAGGTCTGTGAGTCTGGAAATTTAATGTCATAGTGGAGGGAGGGGAGGGCAGAGAGCAGGGAAGAATACGAGGGACTATGGAGTTAGAGGAAAGGGAAATAAAAATCGAGGCAAATGGAAATACATACAATCATTTTAAAGCAATCTTTTCCCAGATCTTAAGTCACTTTGTTAGTTTATAAACACAAAATGTATTATGTATAACTCGGTTTTCTCAGACAATGCTCATGTTTAGCATATTATATTTAAAAGTATAATTTAGTCAGAAAATAATACATTTACTAATAGAATTTACCTACTAGTTTAAGGTTTGTCACAAATGGAGCTTCAAGCTGATGAACTTTTTAAGGAAGCTGTAAGAATGACTCATTCACTCAATTAAGGTTGGTAGTGTGTGGGTAGCCCAGGGACTCTAGGAGCTTGGGGTGGGGCTGAGGGATGGGAGGGAGGGAGCAGGAGCTGCCACCTGAAGAATCAGGTAAACAGAGAGAGTTAAACAAAACAGCCTTGAGATTCTGCCAATCATGGGAAACCAGACACCCGTTATAGAGAGAGGGTAAAACATAGAAAGTGAGCATTTTTTCTAGACAGAATGTCCTCTGTGATGTCAAAAGCACCCATTTTCAGAAAAGAAACTGGAGAGAAAGAGAGAAAAAACTGCCCAATTGAATATAAATGCTGCCACATTGAACTAATCAGTCTCCTTTCCTGAGCTGTCACTGTCAGCAGCTTCTACTTCTCCTAAGGCTTAAGATTTATCTTCTTCATGGACTTCTGAAAACTAAAGATTTCTGTAAGTGATTTCTAGATTTGGTACCATTCCAGACACAAATCTATTTTTTCCAGTGCTTTTGAAGATGAAGCAAGGAAGGAAATGCATTCATTGTTTCTAATCATGACTGGAATAACTGGATACTATTGCCAGGGTCAACTCCAATTCCAGTCTTTGAAAATGACAGTGCCCACTGGAGACTAAAATGCATTTTGCCCTCGATTTTGCAAATTGTCCTTTCATGATTGTCCTCACTGTGGAAAGGATCATTGGGTCATACATTTAGAGCTAGAGGGGAACTTAGAGACTATTGAGTCCAACTCCCTTTTTTTACAGACAAGTAAACTGAGGCACAAAGAGCTTAAATACAATTGTTCAGGGTGACACAGCTGGTAAATTACATCACAGGATTTGAACCCAGTTCTTTTTTATTCCAAATCCAATGCCCTATCCATTTCATCACACTGTTATAAAGATCTAGTAAGAAAAACATTTTAATATAAAAATTATTATAGGTTTTAAAAATAAATTTGAGGAGGCAAAGGTTGGATGACAACATCTGAATATTTCCTCTAATGCATTGTATTCATTTTTTAAATAAAAAAGAATTGTGTAGTGCATTTTTTAAAAATAATTTCCAACTTAAGGAGAAAAAAAACATTCTACTTTTTTGTTTTCTCCTCCAGGTTTTCACATCTCTAGCTGATTATTTGGTGACTCCCCAATGCCTCACAGAAACTGAGACATAGCCAGGAGAGGACCCTTGGGCCCTGCCTCTGCACCCCAACTGTGCTGCATAGCCTCTTAGAAGAGGTCACCAAGCAGGTCAGAGCTTCTGCTGAGTACCCAAGGAGAGCTGAGCTCCCACTGCCTCCCTCCTGCTGCCACTGCTTAATAAAGCTTAATAAAAGGTGTGATTACCATGGCAACCCCACTAACACTTTCAAATAGATGGCCAATTATTATTCACTCATTTACTGTTTATTGTAGTGATGCTAATCACAATGAACTCCAGGGGTGTATTAATGGAGAAGGGATATGCTCTGGGGGTGGAGCGGGGTTGGAGGATGGGGAAATCTCATTCTTTAGCATAATATCTCCAAAAGCAGGCCCTTAGACCCCTCAGCACTAGTACACTGAAAGACAAAACACAGGTGAATGGGAGACATACATATGTGCATATATATATATATATATATATATATATGTGCATTTGAGCATGCACGAATATGTATTCCAATATAGAGAGACACAGAGATAAAGATACATGTGTAAAACAAGTCAGATCCACAATTCCAGCAATGGAGCCCCCCGACACAGAAAAGAGCTGGTTTCACACACAGATGGGCAGACACCTTTGCCTACCACCCACCGATATTTTGTAAGGAAAGTTGAACAGTTTCCACGCTTCCCACTGGACTCTTCCCATTTCAAATAACTGAACATCCTTGAACCTTTGCCAAGATGCTGGGGTAAAAGTGTCCTCTCTACACCTTCCTCTGCCACAAATGAGGGTATTTGTGCAGTTGGGCTGAGGTCTAGGAGGTCAAGATCAAGACAGGAGAAAGGCTGTTGGATGAATTATTGGACCCGCTAAGTTGCTTCCCTCCTAAATGTTTCTAATCTCATCACCATTTCTGTACCCCCCCTTGTTGTATAGAAGGAAGGGTCAGGCACTGTGAGTGCTTTACAAATATTATCTCATTTGATCCTCACAACAACCCTGGGAGGTAGGTGCTATGATTATCCTCATTTTGAAGATGAGGAAACTGAGGCAAATAGTGATTGAGTGATTTGCCCATGGTCACACATTTAGTAAATGTCTGAGGTCAGAATTGGAATTCAGGTCTTCCTGACTCTACACCCAGCCACCTACTGCCCTGTATAGAGGCAAGAACCCTAGATTTGCCAACACAGGACCTGAGTTTAAGTCCCAGCTCCACCATTTACTGCCTCCCCAAGGTAGGCTGCTCCTTCTCTCATGCCCCTTAACACCAGGATCAGGAGGAGGACTTAGCATACTCCTTTGTCCCCAATGCCACTTTCATGGCCTCCCTCTGCCATTACCATCCAGCAACCACCTCTCTTCCTTTAAAGTTTTCTTGATCTTGTCCAGATACTGTCATCTATGGACCTCCAGATCATTCTCCTGTCATCCCAATAAGTTCACTGCCTAAATCACAATCTTCTTTTCCACTCTCTGAACACTCTCAGCCTCCTTAGTTCCCCAGATTCCTCAACTCCCATGACCTCTGGCTCCAGTCCACCTTGCCCTCCCTCAAACTAAAATCTCACCTTCTACAAGAAACCTTTCTATGTACAGTATAGCATATATCTATATATAGTAGCGTGGACTGAACCCCTAAGATCTCTTCCAGTGCTACAGTTCCAAGATCTTTCTATATTAAACATGCTTCATCAAACCTGGTTTAGCCATCCTCAGCCATCAGAAGTTGCCTTTAATTTTAAACCATCTAGATTATGCTGTGGCTAGAGCATGGAGTCAGGAACACCCAAGTTCAAACCCTGCCTCAGAGAACTACTAACTATATAAGCCTGGGCAAGTCACTTAACTACTCTTAGCTTCAATTTCCTGATAATAGTAGTACCTACCTCATAGGAGGATTAAAGGAGATAACTGTAAAGTGCTCTGTAATTCTTAAAGTGCTAGTTAGAAGCTAGCTATTTGGAGGGACAACTAGATGGGACAGTGGAAACAGCACTGGGTCTGGAGTCTGGAAAACTCATCTTCCTGAGTTCAAATCTGGCCTCAGACGCTTACTAGCCGTGTGACTCTGTTTGCCTCAGTTTCCTCATCTGTAAAATGATCTGGAGAAAGAAATGGCAAAGCATTCCACTATCTTTGCCAAGAAAACCCCAAATGGGGTCACAAAGGGGCAGACACAATTGAAACGACTGAACACCAAAACTGTTTGGAGTGCCAGGGAGACTACCAGCCCTAGATGCTCATCTGTACCTTTTGAAGGAGCCCTAAAGTAAAAAAATCTCAAAGCAATCATTTCAACAACTCACCACCCACTGGTGTGGAGAGAGCCAGGGCCAGAGATAGATGTGGGTGGGAAGGTGTGAAAGTGACTTGCTTGCTTATTCTGCCAATGCTGGAGATACGGGAGCTGCACTGAGAATCTTGGTGGGGGAAGGGGGTTAGGATAAGAGCCACCACAGGAGAAAAGGGGCTGGTAGAGGAAGTAAAGGAGCATTTCCCAGCAACAAAACCAGGCAGCGTTCAATGGGCGCTCAGCTGGAGAGATCAAAGCTACAAAAGGTCAGAAGAGGCCACTACCGCTTCATGTTTTGGTCAGGCGACCATAATAAATAGAATGACTTTGCATTTTGGAGACTGTGGAAAAGTCTGAGTGCCTCTCTTGCCTCTGATACTTATGAGCTATGGGCTAATTACTTCACCTTTCTAAATCCTCAGTCCCCTCATCCG